CCCATCTTTGCGCCACCGAAAGAAAATAGTCACTCATTGACCCAGATTCTGTACCACTTTATTTAAATTTCAATTACCCTTTTGATTCATCGGGATTGTAGAAGGCGACCGCTCGCATCTGCAACGCAGTCTGCCGTCTCTCTTGCGAACATACTCTCTAATCATTTCCCCTAGTCTTGATTAAGCCTCGAAGCCCGCCTTTCAAAAGCCAATCCGTTGTATCAGAAGGTTTTTGTTTCAAACTTTGAAGTATTCGCTTGGATTGAGATTTCACTTTTCAATTGTCTTTCGCCATATCAAGATAAACATCGATCTTTTAAAAGACCAATTTATTACTGTTAAGAAGCGCAAAGCGCATTTAACTGCTCTCATAATAATCGAAAGCGTAACAGGTGGCAGGATTGCCCAAAGTTCGAAGGCTGCGTAGGGGGATTCAGATCTTGTGAAGTTGTCTCTCATAGGATTTTAATATACTCATATTCCAGTGCATTCAGTAAACCCAAAGATTAACATCGGAGATAGCCAAAACTTCAGCTTGTGGCATTTTGAATATCATAATCATGTACGTCGTGACTCTCGCAGTGTGTGCAAAATTCAAAATATTTATCTAATTTCAAGTATCAATGAATTCCATTCTGACGTTTTTCTCCATTTCTTTCTGTTTCTTTCTCTATGGTTCGTTCTGCGTTCTGAAAAAACACATTTTTGAAGTTGCTATCTACGGACAGAAAAGATTATCTTACAATGATTTTGTTAAAGTTGCTTAGTTGTTGACAGAGTATTCTTCCATAGATCATGTAATCGTGTAAAGCCAGAATCTGAATAAAAGAATTCTGAGTATCTGCTCAACAAGGAAAGTTTCGTAATTCACCTTTGCTGCAGCTAAAGCTGCCTCTTCAGCTCCAAATACCGTAGTGCAACCGATTCCTGTAGGCATTCTCAGTGAAGACCATAGATCCAATTGAATGTCGCTTTCCGTCAGTGGTGGACAATTGATAACCTGGATAATTACTGTAATAGTACTGTAGGTTGCCATTTGTGTCCTTGTCGGAAAACTGTTTACTCGCTTTTTCTGTAGAAATGACTCTGAATTTCCAATTGTTCCATTGACCAAACGGCATCTCATATGAACCACTCTTGACAGAGAAAAGCTATTTTAAACTCGAGCCCATT